TACTCATGGAGTTGAGCCCTTCTGGAGGAGTCGCCAATTCTGCAGCTACTCAAGAATTTCCCAGCATTTTATGGAACCCGAAGGTTCATTACCATGTTCACAAGAGCTCTCCACCGGTCCCTATCCTGAGCCAGATCAATCCAATCAATACCATCCCATCCTATCTCTCTAAGATCCATTTTAATATTGTCCACCCACCTACGCCTTGGTCTTCCCAGTGGTCTCTTTCCTTCTGGCTTTCCCACCAATATCCTATACGCATTCGTCTCCCCCATTCGTGCTACATGCCCTGCCCACCTCATCCTCCTTGACTGGATCATTCTAATTATACTTGGAGAAGAGTAAAAGTTAAGAAGCTCATCATTATGCAGTTTTCTCCAACCTCCTGTCACTTGAAGAAAGCAGTCTTCTGGGATTTGGCACTGTGTATATGTGGTGTTAACCGACGTTTCGGAGGAACGTATCGCCTCAATCTTCAGGGTAGAAGAAAAAATTATAAGAAATCTGCAAGCAAAGAGACCGTGAGAACCGGTAAAAGCAGTCTGCTTTTACCGGTTCTCACGGTCTCTTTCTTCATAGTCACCGCCGNAGGCGATACGTTCCTCCGAAACGTCGGTTAACACCACATATACACGGTGCCAAATCCCAGAAGACTGCTTTCTTCATAGTCACCGCCGTGAAAGCCTCAAATCTTACTCCTGTCACTTCATCTCTCTTCAGTCCAAATATTCTCCTCAACACCCTGTTCTCAAACACCTTCAGTCTGTGTTCCTCCCTTAATGTCAGAGACCATGTTTCACTCCCATACAGAACCACAGGCAAAATTATACTTTTGTATATTCTACTTTTTATGTTTTTGGACAGCAGATGAGAAAACAAAAGGTTCTGGACCGAATGGTAGTAAGCATTACCAGAGTTCAATCTCCTCTTAATTTCCTCCTGAATCAGGTTTCGATCTGTTATCGTTGTTCGCAAATATCTGAACTGTGCCACATTTTTGAAACATCTGTTTCCTATCTCCATATCATGAGTTTGCCCTGTATTTTGGTGATGAGACAGCAACATATACTTAGTTTTCTCAGTGTTTACATCTAGACCAACCTCTTTACTTGCGTCAATTAAAGTTAGTGTGTTTTTCTTTATGGTATCTACATTATCACCCAGTAGATTCACATCATCGGCGTAGACCAACAGCTGATGTGTCCCGTTTAATTTCCGCCCCACTTGGTTTCCCTGGACCTTCCTAATTGCATATTCTAAAGCAAAGTTGAAAAGGAGTGGCTATAAAGCATCTCCTTGTTTTAGACCATTCTGGATAGGAAATTTATCAGACAAATGTTTACCTACACAGACTTTACTATACGCTTCGTTTAAACACATTTTAATCAACCTGACTAGTTTCATGGGTATCCCAAACGCTATTAGAATATTGTACAATACTTCCCTCCTAACTGAAGTCTATGAAGTCTATGAATAGCTGACGTACTGTCTCATCGTACTCCCATTTTTTCTCCAATATCTGACAAATGAAAAAGATCTGATCTGTAGTTGATCTGTTACGTCGAAACCCACACTGATGATCCCTAATAATTTCATCTATATATAGACTTAACCTTGAGAGAAGAATATTGGACAAAATTTTATATGAATTTGGGTATGTAAGTCACTGCCATGAAAAAACTAAATATCGTGGATGTAGGATTTGAGCTTCTCACAGCAGCGGTTATGAAGATTTCTATCTTCTGAGTTATAACACCATGTGGTCCACTGAAGGTCTACCAAGACTTCAGAGGAAAATGTCACCTCTGAAACGTCAACTGAATTTCAACAGATTACAAGGCATTATATCCCTGAAGATATAACACTTCAGACTAAATACAGATTTCACATGGCTGGAATACTATGTTTCAAATTCTACACAAAAATTTCCATAATATGAATTGCATATCATTTGAAAATCTATATATAAAGTAACACAATTTAAGTACACACAGCATGTGTTGTAACAATAACTTTTCTCAGTCGAACTATTATAACAAGAATGAACAATCACACTTATTTCTTTAATAAATTTTATTCTCATTGAAAATTCGGTGATGAATGGAAATATTGATTCCTAACAGTTTAATACCTCAAAAGTTTGATAAATGCCCATGCCACATGATAAATTAACAACTGACTAAGATATGTGATGTTATTTAACAAACAAAGAAACTCACCCGCCAACCTGAGTTGTCTCGGTAAGCCAATGACCTTCACAACACTGAAAACTTGGTCACCTTGGAAAACCAAGAGTGCAGTGTTGTCTGAACCATTAATAGGTACCTCCAGGCAGATTACGAGTATTACAAATAAGGTAATCCTAAGCTGACAACAAAAATAAGGAGCAGTGAGAGGAAATATCGAAGGCAGTAAACTGTCCGAGCCACAATTTTCTGAGACAACATTCAGGATCGATTAAAAAAGGCAATGAAACGTTTTTGAGCTCAAGTACAAGGCAGTGGCATTTTGGTCAGTGTGCAAATGGATAAAGGAGGGTTCCGGTTCATAAATTATACCAAACTAAGAAAGTTTTATGGTGGAAAAACAAATACGTTTTGCATCTGACAATATCCATAAAAATTAAGGACACGGGCATTTTTTTCACTAAGTAATACATCAAACTTTTGAACAAATTTATGGCCTATGATCCTGGAGTCGACCCAGCCTCTAGCAGAAATGAGAACCATGAATCTTCTTGGGGAGGGCAGCTGGTGCATAAGACTGACAATCTCAACACCATCTGTAAGCTGACTGTCTAGAAAATACGGGAGCCTCGATGTCTCACAACCCTATCCGCCTGCACTGTCAGTTACAAGAATAGCTTTTGCTATTGCAAAGGTACAGAATAAGTGTTGAATGCTGATCATTACTCTGCTATCCTATGAAATTCCGTTTTCATGGAACCGGAAGGTTCATTATTGTGTTTACAAAGGCTAGTCAATCCCTAACCACTTAAAACCAGTCTATCTCCTCACACCCCTTTTCCTTTCTCCATTCTAATATTATCCTCTCAGCCATGCCTATGTATCCCAATGGTCATTTCTGTTCAGGCATCTAAACAAACATTTTGTTGTGTTTCCTGAGTCAGAATTATATTTTTTTAGTCATTAATTATAACACCAGAATGATTTATAGACCAATATAAACAAGGATACAATTATCTATACTCTTGAATGTTCATACAGGCATTCAATACACTTAAATCAAATTTTACCGCATTTCATGAAGTAAAACCTTATACATATAATTTTTCTTATTAACTTTTGTCTGAAAGAATTTAGTGAGTATTCAATAACGTATACACTTTCAGGTGCAAGTGGTCTTAACACAACTCAATCTGATGTCAAAACGATTCAATACAGATTTCATCAGAATCCGCTAACAAACAGTGCTAGATATATTAAAATGACATTTTTAATGAGTTAAATCTCGCAAGCAAAGAAGACCCAGTTTTTAACCCGAAACAAATTCAGGCCAACCATATCCAACTGTACAACTTAATTACAATACAGAAATCCTACATACAAATATCATGTATCCATAAATATACAATGCATAAAGCAATGGTTGTCTTCATATTCTACACACAAGGACAAGCAAATGTTTTCATATCACCAAAGCTCACAAAAACAAAATTTCTCCAGATTTCATTTACAAGATCAGTTTTTAATACCCATCTTACTGATAATATTTCCAACAACCACTCACAGAACAGTTGCATATTACTGAAAACAACACATACTCTGTAAGGGCTGAAACGCTCACAGTGACATAATTCAACGCATTCTTCCATAATCTACCCATAGCTATGGGACAGAGTGTGTGCAAGGGCCTATACAGCTGAATAATTCCTCTCAAAATTTACAGAACTAAAGAAGACGCATGTACAGCTGACCAAAATGTAGATAACAAATTGAATGCCACCCCCCAAAGCAAACTTGCCTGATCCAAGAAGAAATTCACAGATTAAAATCTTAACCTTGCCCACCCAAGTGACACTATACGACTTTCACTAGGGAAGTGGAGTATCACTTCCAACACATTATTACAAGATCATAATAAATATCTGTATCTCCATTACAAAAGAAATAACAGTTTTCCTGGAAAAAACTGCACAATGATGATATTCACCACTTGTACTCTTCAGCAAATATAATTAGAATGATCAAGACACAGAAGGCGAGATGGGCTGGGAATGTAACATACAAGGAGAAGACAAATGTCTTTTTTGTGGGAAAACCAGAAGGAAATAGACTACTAGGAAGACCTAGATGTAGGTGGTGGAATATAAAAATGGATCTCAGAGAGACAGAATGGGGTGACATGGTCTGGATTCATCTGGCTCAGGATAGGGAGCAGTGAAGATCTCTTGTGGACACAGTAATGCATACTCAGGTTCCATTAACTTTTCAGAAATCACTGAGTAGCCAAGGTGCTGGTGGCATATCGATAAGGGCTTAGCTCCCTGGAGTCAGATAGGTAGGTCGGATCGGTTGGTTAATTAGAAGTTTACATTATGCTGGCAAGCAGTACTGAAATTTGTGGCTAAGTTCTGCTGTCTCCCAACCTTCATCTTATTTCAAAATTTAATTCTGTCCCCTTACAGGAAATTACAAAGCCATAAAATCCAATTTGAGCTATGGGGTCGACTACTCAGCCTCGAACAGAAATGAGTATCAGGGATTTTCTTGGAATGTTCTTGGGAGTAAAGGGCGGCCGGCACGTTAAGGCTGAGAACCTTACCGCCATCTATGACTGTCTAGAAAATGTGGGAACCTCAACAACTCACAACCCTATGGGCCTCCACGGCCTGTTGCAGGGATACGTTTACTTACTTTTACTATAAGCACAACAGACCACTGTAGGGCGCGGTGCAAGGGCCGAGAAGGCCCACCCCTCACACATTCATACTTTTACTATCACTTGAACTATTCTACTAAATAATCATATTGTCTTACCTGGCCATTTCTAGGCTGCTGATGAAGTGATGCAGCAGCTGCCATCTGTTGAGGAGTCATATGATTATTGAGGAACACAAGTTGATCAGCACCAGGCTACAACAAAGCATGATCATACAAAATGTAAAATGTAGACAAGAAAATTACAAATCATAGTATTACATGGCAAACTACAATTCTCAGGGTCTTCTACGAGTATATCCACATTATACAATTTTACACCAATTCTGTTCACAAATGAATGAATATATTTTAGTGCTAAACACATATAAAAAATTAAGAGAAATTTATTTTCAGTTGTTTACCATCTGCCATGTTACAGTATCAAGATTTAAAATTCGTCACTGCACTACATGTTTCAGCCTAGTCGCCCAACATCAGGTGGATTGAAACTCAGGGGAACTGCTGTGCCTTCCATGCTACTGTAATGGTGACAAATTTTAAAGAATTAATTTTAAATCTTGATATTGTTACTTGACCGCCTCTGTAGTGGTCAGCGTTCCTGAATACAGTTCTAGAGGTCCGGGTTCGATTCCCGGCACTAGTGGGTCTGGAATGGGGTCCACTCAGCCTGGTGAGGGTAATTGAGGACCTGTTTCAAGGAAATAGCGGCTCCGGGCTAGAAAACCGAAATTAACGGTCTTGGGGATTTGATGCGACACCCTCTATCCGCTAAAGTTGGCACTGACTTCGCCTCTTACATTCATTATTTAGCAAGTGGACCATTTGGTAAAGACCTGCACATCAAATCAACCTCAAGGACAAAGGCTGGTAGTATTATATTGATTAGTGGTGACTGCCTGAAAGATAAAATAAGTTCATCTTCCCTTTACTTTGCCTGAGCCCTTCCTGAGAAGCTGCCAACCGTTTAGCAGCTCAAAAACTTCACAACATTTTATGGAACCCAGGGGTTCATTACCATGTTCACTAGAACCCTCCATTATTCCCTATCCTGAGCCAGATAAATCCAGTCCATATCACCCCACTATATCTCTCTTATTATCCATTTTAATATTATCATCCAACCTATGTTTAGGTCTTCCTAGTATTCTCTGTCACTGTTGCTTTCCCACCAAAATCCTATATACATTTCTCTTTGCCCCATGCGTGCTACATGCTCTGCCTGAAAGCAGGTTCCGTACTTTTGACTCTAAGGCATCTGAATTAGTACTGGATACAGTTAACACAGAACGCTAAATACATTCATGAAGATTAAACTGTAGTAAGATATGATGGGCTAGGCATGTAAAAAAGTAAAGCTATCCCTGTAACAGGTCGTGAAGGCCCATAGGGTTGTGAGAGGTTGAGGGTCCCACATTTTCTAGACAATCGGCTCAAAGATGGCGGTAAGGTTGTCAGCCTTACGCGCCGGCCACGCTTTACTCCCCAGGAAAATTATACCTGGAATATGGAGACCAGGTAAGCACAATGAGTTCTGTTGGGAAAACCTGTCGAAAAAAGACAATGTACAGGAACTGTGTGAGTCCCTAAACCAATGGTAGCAAATAATGCAGGAACAGAACAGTAATTCCAGTACAAAGGGAAGCTACCCTCAGCTTATCATATTCTGAATGGGAAGTGAACTCTGTCAAACTGCTGGATTTGATATTAGCAGTGCTGAACATCCAAGTTCCTGCTGCATGAGAGTCAGTTTAGAATTAATGATTGCGTGAATATTATTTTCTGTACAGTACTGCTTTTGTAGATAATACAAAACAGCTCTGGCCCTTGGATGTGCATTATAACAGACTCTGGCATTATTCAGTCAGATGCAAGGTCTTGAATCACTTTCAATAATGTGTAGTACGTTGAAGTCCACTGTCCTTCATGGACCAAGTCACAAATTAATATAACACCACCATCCATTGTCGGCTGAGTTGACAAGCAAGGCTTCCTTGACATTTTGTGTCAGGTTGCTTGCCTGCAAAGTAACGAATACAAGAGGAATTAACCTTCATAACTGCTCTTCTTACCAAAAATTTTCCTACTGATTTCAGTTCCTCTGACTGCGCTTTTCATCTATTTGCCACTGAGAAATTTCCATTATTTCCTAAATAAAACTGGTATAAAGTAAATGCGCCATGAAGATGTACGAAGGAGTGGATGCATAGATCCACATATTCTTCACACTAGTTGGAGGCCAGTGGTCAACTCCACACCCCAACCACTTTGGCACCTCTCCCAGAGAAAATGGCTTCCAGTACCCACTGGACAGAAGTGGACCCCATAACCGGTATGGATAATGTGGAGAGGAGACAAATCTTGCCCCTACTGGATCTTGAACTGCAAACCCTAGCTGTCCAGCCCATAGCCAATCGCTATACTGGCTTCTTAAACTAGTATAAACTTAGAGATATTGGGTTTTCGGACTTTATCCATCGTCCTGGTTTTAAGATAACTAAGAAAAACAGGACGTTTCGGAAACTGGATCTGTTTCCGTTTCTGTTTGGTTTCGTGACATAAATTTCTACGGCTCTATCTGTCGTGGTTCCACGCTTGTAGGTGTTTGGAACAATTTGGAATGTATATTTTTCTTATTAGATCTCATGGACTTAGCCTGGTCTCAGGTGTTTATATCCTTCGTGTTTTTTGGACATCGGTTGTCCAGTGATTGGGGCTAGCTCTTTGTAAGGGACCCAACAGAATAGGTGTTATCCCTCACCTGAGGATGGAAGCAGATCCAGTTTCCGAAACGTCATGTTTTTCTTAGTTTTCTTAAAACCAGGACGATGGATAAAGTCCGAAAACACAGTATCTCTATGTGTTATACACCATCGTCAGAATCCTATAGTAACTACTAGTATAAACTTGCTTAAAAATATCCCTCCAAGACAACTTCCACCCAGGGGCAGCACATACCTAAATGTAAACCCCCCGTGACAAGAAATTCCACTATCTCATCAGTTAAATAAAAACAGATAAACATTCTCAAAACTTCATGGCAATTAATAACACAATTTCAAGACTCTAAAATGAAGAGTGTCACTAGTGTATTAATTCTTCAAGCAGTTTCATTTCACATGACATATCTAAATTTCTGTCAAATAATGGTCATGATACGAACACGAGCAGTAAAAGTTCATTTTCACGCAATAAACCCCCCTCCCCAAAGATCTGTAAAATATCCTGCCCAAAGTTGCACTTGCCTTCGCTCCCTGTCCCAAATCCTCCATCGACTTCTCGCAATAACATTGCGGTGCGAAAAGTTTTCAAGTCAAAGTCATATTGCAACTGACGGTCAGTCGGTCGGTCGGTCGGTCAGTCAGTCAGTCTGTCTTTCTTGGTGTCGATGTGAAAAGTTTTCAGATTCTTCGAACACGTATTTATGTGCTTTAGGCTGGGGCCACACGACCGCACAAAATGCGTCCGTTGTAATGAACGTACTTTATGACTGACGTTGCTGAGGACACCACACAGATGATGAATGCGGTGCGTAGCTCTGTGTCTGCAGTGGAGCCAAAAGAAAGCGTAGCACTCGCCTCTCTTGTTTATTTCTACAACGGAAGTCACGACGTTCGTTACAACGGACGCATTTTGTGCGCTCGTGTGGCCCCAGCCTTAGTTGTACACACTTGAACCTCCACTTTTTAATGGCT